CTATTTGAACTAATGAATCGGTTATTTAATCCATTAACTGAGTCAATACAATTAAACGTGCAGACATATAAAATGTGTAATTGTATGATTATAAACCAATAAGATGAGATTATATTTATAGAACTATGCATATCGTTGGACATTGAAGTTATTTAACTAATCCGATGTCTTATGACTTGACTTGAGCCGGGTAAATAAGTGGCATTGATTGTGGACGATCGGAAATAATAGAGTTCAGTAATACAAAGTAATTAATTACGCGTTTAAGGAAGGTTTGCATAATGGAGCGAATGCATTATAATAGTGCAATAAAACATACCATCGTAATTTGCGGTAAATACCCGGGTCTCTTACATTCCTAGGGCAAAATCTTAATTAGTACTCGGTGAGTACTTTGTTAGGTGGGGAAGTTTATGTAAAGGAATACTTTAAATGCAATGAAGTTAACAATCAACATTTAAATAAACGCGAAAATATTTGGACACGTATGTTTTAGATTTACCCGGGTCTTTTACAATCATGTTACGAAATACTTGATTAATCCCAGGTACAAATTATGTGGGGTATGCTAACAAGGGGGGTACTATTTGCCGCAAATTACGGTATCATATATATGTTCAATTATATATCTCAGAAATGTATAAAATGGCTGACATTTCAACCTTTTTCTCTTCATTCTCTTTGCGATTTTATTTCGTATTTCAAATCTCTCTTTACTTTCTTTGCGGTTTTATATCGTATTTCAAATCTCTCTTTACTTTCTTTGCGGTTTTATTTTGTATTTCGAATCCCTCTTTATTTTCTTTGCGGTTTTATTTCGTACTTCGAATCTCAAAATGTTGTCAAATTTTTATTCCACCTTCATCATTGCTTTATGCTTTATTACAATCATCATTAATCCCGCTCTTACCATGTCTACTGCGCGTCGTTCGAACAAACGTAACAATCGTCTTGGTATATGATATTTACCTTTAATGAAAATTTTTGCCGTTTCTATGAATTTACTAAAATTGAAGATTTTGTGATTATAATTTCTCTAATTAATTATATCGATATATAAATCAACAATTATTAGATCGTGAGTATAAAATAACTTTTAAATTAAATTTCTTACTATTATATAATTTATAATTTAATAAAAACTTTTCTAATCGATTATGTAGGCCGTGGTATAAAATCAAATTTTTAAATACTGATTTATAATTTATAAATTGAACTTTATGATAAGCTTTTATTAAATAAACCTTTTCTAATGAATTATAAACGAATTTATTGCTACACTACAGGAGTTTGTGAGTATAAATTAGAATTCTTATACTAGAAATATTGTATACAACCAATCTAATTAATTATAATAAATTAAATCAGTTGCCCGTGAGTATATAATTAATTTATAAATTGAACTTTTACGTATAACTTCTATTATAAATAAATAAAATTTTCTAATTAATTATATATGAATTAAATTATTAGGTCATCACGGTTACGGTAAATATAAATTTAACTTTTAGATTGAAATCTTATATATTGTATATTAAAATTTATATATAATAATTTATAATTAAATAAAACTTTTCTAATTAATTATAAATTAAATTTATTAGACGATGGTAAGTATAAAATTTAATTTATTTGTATCGAAATTTTATAATAATTTATTTATAATTAAATAAATTTTTTTTTTATATATAAATTAAATTTATTAGGCGATTATTACGGTAAGTATAAAATTTATAATAATTTATTTATAATTAAATAAAAATTTTCTATATATAAATTAAATTTATTAGGCGGTTTTAACGGTAAGTATAAATTTTAATCTATATGTATCGAAATTTTATAATAATTTATATTTAAATAAAATTTTATAATTATATATTTATATATTAAATTAAATTTATTAGGCGATGATGGTAAGTATAAAATTAAATTAATATTGAATTTTTATAGTAATTTATAATTAAATAAAACTTTTTTAATTGTTTATATATTAGATTGTGAGTATATTATACGTATATATAAATTTTTTATAAATAAATAACTCTTTTAATTTATTATATATAAATTAAATTATTAGCTCATAGTAAGTATTAAATTAAGTCGATATTGGAATTTATAGTGATTTGTAATTAAGTAATTTGTGTGATTAAATAAAACTTTTTTTAATTAAATCTTTTAGATTGTAAGTATACGATTAATTTATTAAAAGTAAAGTTTGTAATAATTTGTAATAAACTTTTCTAATTAAATCTTTAGATCGTAAGTATACAATTAATTTATTAAAAGTAGTTTATAATTTATAATTAAATAAACTTTTCTAATTATTTATATATTAAATTATTAGAACGTGAGTATATTGTATTTATAATTTTTTTTATAAATCAAGAAACTTTTTTAATTTATTATATATAAATCAAATTATTAGCTTGTGAGTATATTGTATATATAAATTTTTTTATAAATAATGAACATTTTTTAATTTATTATATATAAATCAAATTATTAGCTCGTAAGTATACAATTAATTTATTAAAAGTAAAGTTTATAATAATTTATAATTAAATAAATCTTTTTTAAATTAAATAATTAGGTGGTAAGTATTATATAAAATTTAAAAAATTTCATATTAATTTATAATTAACAAATTATTATACTAAATTATTAGGCGGTAAGTATAATTAATTTTTAAATCTAAAATTTTATTATAAATAAACGTTTAATTAATTATATTTTTTTATTAGATTGTAAGTATAGAATAAATTTATAAATTAAAATTTTATATTAATTTATTATAAACTAAATAACCCTTTTTTAAAAATCAAATCAAATTAAATATTAGCCGGTAAGTATAAATTAATTGTAAATTTAAAATTATATATTAATTTGTAATTAACAAATTATTATACGAAATTATTAGGCTGTAAGTATAATCAAATTTTTAAATTTAAAATTTTATAATAATTTGCAAATAACCAAACTTTTAATCAATTATATTTTTAGTCCTCAGTAAGTATAAATAAATTTATAAATTAAAATTTTATAATATTATTATAAACTAAATAAATTTTGTTAAAAAAATTAAATCAAATTAAATATAGATGGTAAGTATAAATAATTTCATGTTAAAATTATATACAGTATTAATTTGTAATTAACAAATTATTATACTAAATTATTAGACAGTAAGTATAATCAAATTTTTAAATTTAAAGTTTTATAATAATTTGCAAATAGCTAAACTTTTAATCAATTATATTTTTATTAGATAGTAAGTATAAAATAAATTTATAAATTAAAATCCTATAATAATTTATTATAAACTAATTAAACTTTTTAAAAAATCAAATCAAATATTAGACAGTAAGTATAAATAAATTTAAATTTAAAATTTTATAATAATTTGCACGTAAATAAACTTTTTAATCAATTATATTTTTTAGTACTCGGTAAGTATAAATAAATTTATAAATTAAAATTTTATAATATTTATTATAAACTAAATAAATTTTGTTAAAAAAATTAAATCAAATTAAATATTAGATAGTAAGTATAAATAATTTTATATTAAAATTATATACAGTATTTTTGTAATTAACAAATTATTATACAAAATTATTAGACAGTAAGTATAAACAAATTTTTAAATTTAAAATTTTACATTTAATTAATTATATATTTTTAAATTATTAGTTCGTAAGTATAAATAATTTATACTATAAATTAGAATTTTATAAATTTCATAATTAACCAAACAAACTTCTTTAAAAAATATTTTCTAATTAAAATACCGTATATAGTTAGCCGTAAGTATAAAATTAATTTATAATTAAAATTTTATAATAATATATAATTTTCTAATTTTATAATTAAATAAAAACTTTACTAATCAATTATATTGCAAAATTTTTAAATTAAAATTATTAGGCAGTAAGTAAAGAATCATATATTAAAATTTTATAATAATTTATATTTAAATTAATAATATTTCTAATTAATTATAGAGAGTAAAAAATAAGTTGGTAAGTTTTTAAAACTTATAGTAACAGTAATTTTTTATTATGTTTATCTAAAAAATTTTTAATTAATTATACTGTATATATAATTAGTTGGTAGGTATAAAACTATATAATACACATTTATATACGTATCAAACAGAAGTTTATAATAATTCATAATTAATGGTTTTTTTCTTGATTAAATAGATTTTTAATACGTATAGAAATGGGTTTTTAATACGTATAAAATAAGACTTGCTAATACATACTTAGCATTTATCATATAATTTCAATTTATAGTATTTTATAAAATTTAAATTTAGAATTTTCTTATTGTAATATTCAATTTATTGATTTTTTTAGTTATTATAGAATAGAGTTAGTAATGTTTTAATAGCTATAAAAGAATGTTACTCAAATAAAGATAATTCTTAATCATCAATTTTATAATAGAATAAAGTAAAATATATACTGTATAACTTATATATTGTACAATTAACTTTATAAATCAAAAATTTTGAACCAATTATGACGTGCAGAAGATTAGTACTTCTATCAAATTGACGGAAGTCTAAAATATAAAAATAAACACATATTTTTTATTACATATACAATTGTGTACAAATTATTCTTTAGCACTCATCTACAGTGTTTAAAAGCCTTACTTAAATTAATAAAAAGTGCAAAAAATCGACAGATACTGATTACTGGTTATGATTTAAACAACAGTCTTTTATTTACTCAGCAAATTTAACAAAAGGTAAACGTTTAAATGGATTTTGTACTTAGGCAATTAACCAACTTTGGCATATTAAATAAACACTCATAATATCTTTTTTTAGTGCAGAAATATATATATATAGTGCGAATGTTTAACACTAAATTGCTACTTTTCAAAGAATATTATACAGATCTACCAAGGATTGTTTTTTACTAGTGCGATAACTCTTTATAAATAATTTAAGGAGTCGTAACTTAAACGTTGCATAATAAATATTTATAGACATGCGTACGGCACGCCTAGGCGTTAAACCTATTAATACGCGTTACGCGTTTCTGCTGAATTACACTGGCGGATTAGAACGACAATTTTACCTGGATCAAATCCTTACCGTAAAGCATAATGCAAGTATTCCTTGATCCAGACCCCTATGATTTGTACTCAAGGTCATCGAATGTAGGGAACGGCACGGAGGTCACAGGCATGCTGCCATGGCATACCCAATACTCAAACAGTCAATAAGGCATGCCACTTATATGTTATTTCGGAATATTCCGAGTATACATAGATTACGAGAAAGGTCAAGAGCAAAGTTCCGAAAGGAGGTTTATATAGTACGTAATAACTGACCAGTCTAAATTGAGTATACCTATCACGTGGCATATTGGCATGCCACCTGGCACGAATTTTAGCAAATGGCATGCCGACGACGTGAAAAACTTTTTTGCCGTGCCACTTTCCTAATCGAATGGGGACTTGCTTATGAGTCAATAATCTTTAGTCTTTTTCTTTTAAAACAACATTCCAATAATATGAATTCTACTTTTTTTTTTAATCGATTAGCTATTAATTAATCTCAGAATCATAATAAATATTTCCATAACATTATACCAAAAACATTTTCAAATTTCACAGGCAAAATTGTACTGTATATTAAAAAAAACATATTCCCATATTCCCTCCTTAAGTGCCATATCATATATCAGATATTACATAGCCGGGTATAAATCGGCTTCGGTCACGTGGAATTTAAATCCCGTTCAGTTAGGATGATCTATAGTAAAATGCTATAATTTTAATGAAAATTCTTAAAATTAATTAAAAAACGCTCTTTTAGTTTAAAATACAGGTTCTATTGAGTAATCGACCAAATTTTTTAAGCTAGTTAATATGTAATTTACAGAGGAGATACAATTTGAAATTTGATAATTTTTTTATAATCGTTTCATATAATATTTTTAAACTTCAAATTGTATCTCCTCTGTAAATTACATGACTAGTTTGAAAATTTTGTTCGATTACTCAACAGTATCTATAAAAGAGAGCTTTTAAAATTTTTTTTATTGAAATTTTATTTAAATAATCTATTTGTCGCCGGCGGTGACAGTGCCTTTATAGTTGTATTTAGGGTTAGAAAGGTCATAGTATATAGTAAGACCCAAACATTCATATCGATATAGCGATAGGGCTATACATAAATTTTGATTTACATAGTACATCGAACACCCCAACATACGTACAGGGTACGTGGTTTAAAAACTCCTAAATGCACGGCGGGATATTAATACATATCATAGACGATTGCATAATGTTACATAAATCTGTAAGGGTCATAAACAATTACACATTATGGTAGATCAGTTATGGTATATGCGTTGGAGTTCAATTTTCCATTATCATGATTAAGATCCGGTATTATTCGCTCGGTTCTTCACATGGAATTCTTAAATAAAACCCGGGTACTGCCAGTGTTGTACAGGGACACGGACAGTCCCGGACGATGTCCCATGTCGTGATGGTGTTCCATGCACAAGGCTAACAAGAGTGACAACTTGAAATCCAGAACCGAACCGAAACCGAAACGTCTAATATCTTTCTTATTCCAAAAAAATCATTTCTTTTAATTGGCAGAGATGGTAAATTTTGTGGTTTTCCTACGTAGGTCATACTTATATTAAACCGATCACGTGATTGGATCCAATTGTTGTACGATTGATAAATAATTTTTTAATCTCAACCATTAAATGTGAGTAATCATTCCCTTCGGGATTTTCCGATCGGGCTAATTCGGAAAAGCTTAGACCAGAATGCCGCTTCTTACTTATATGTAAATCACCTTTTGCTTTATTGATTCGATAGTTTATTAAATAAACTTCGAATCAGTAAAGTAAAATTATTTCTATATGAATAAGAACCGGCATTCTGGTCTAAACCTTTCCGAATTAGCCCGAAGATGCTGAAATTTTGATCTGTTTTAATATGAAACTTAAAAAAATTTTTTTTGGCTCTTTTAGAAAAATGTTAGGTAAAAAAGTATACGTGGATTTCAGCAGCGTTTATATTTTCTAATCGAGATTTCAATTATTATTTTATTTTGCAATCTGATTGGCTGATCTGCTATCACGATATAAAGGTTGACAATCATGTGTAGCAAATGGAATTATTCCCATATTTGGCCTATCTGTACTTTTCGGTCCGGTGCGGATCCGCCCGAAATCGGTGCATCATCAGTATGGCTGCTGGTGACAATTTCACCAATAGACATACTGTAGGTGACCAGAATTGTGTGCACTAATCTGCTTGTAATTCTTGTCTTAACCCTAATATTATAATCCCATATTATTAATTATACTGATCCGGTCATCTTTACCAATACCATAACGTAATCTGGTGCTTTTTTTAAAAAAAATTTGTATTGTACATACCGTGCTAATCAAGACTATACATGGTATTTAACGGAGGTGACCCTTAACATGATCTGCGACAAAAGATACGTTCACATGTACAGTACCCGGTTACAGTGCGTATTATGTAATTGTTTTAAAAAACAGGTCACAAATTATAAATAAGGTAAGTTCGGACTAATAAGATGAAGTTTAAAAAAGATTTTTTTCCAAAAAAATCAATCAATTTCTATCTTTTAAACTTACTGTAGTACAGGTGGACAAACTCTGCTAACCATCATACTGTATTTCATGTATGCTAATTAACAACTTGCCCATCATCATTTAAAAATATTTTTTAAAAAAGCCTACTATTTTTAGTTTAATTTCATTTGATACTGTAAAAAAAAACAAAATTTATTGGCTATGTAATTTTGGATTTTATTAAAAATATGTATTTACACGTATAGTAGAACAAAATAATTAATTATAAATTATTATAATTAAATTTACTCAAAGTTGTAAATAAGATAATACAAAATTTAACAGAGTTACTCGACCATAATTTTCGTATTTTCGTGTCTCCATGCATAAGTCCACATATGTACATCGTTTTAGATGGAGATAGGGCGTTATCTTTCTTGTGATTCAAATATTATTATTCACATGATTTATAATTAGTATAAAGTGTTCGGAATAGTTAGCAGTGCCACATACGCATACCAACTGCGGAAATTTATTACAGGAGTAGTAAAAGAGATACGTACAAATATTGGCCGCTCTTTTCCAATAATAAGGCAAAAAAATCTTGCCCCAAAAAAATTCTTAGGTTCTTCCCCATACGGGGCTGAATAATTAAAATTCCTGATTTCCTGCGCCAATTACACCTTTTCAAGTGCTTTTCTTGACTCATCAAATCAAATATATATATTCTCAAGTGAATAAATTGACTCAGCCTAATTAGTGTGTAATCATCACTATCATCACCAAAAAAAACATAAATGTACGTGTATAAAACTCATTTCAGCCATTTTACAATAATTTAATATTTTTCTTTTTTTTTTTTTTTTATTTCGTATTTTTTTTTTTTATTTCATTTGAAAATCATAGAATAAAAAGTTAGTGATTTTCTAAAGTCTATGGCGAAGTTACCTTCACCTCTTCAACCCGCAAAGGTTGAGCCCATAAAAAACAATCCAAAAAAATGGCATATTAGAGATGATCCAATTACCTGGCAGAATTGGTACAAACATATAAACTGGCTTCATGCATCTATACTTCTTTCAACACCTTTTATCGCTCTTTACGGATTTTTCACGACAGAGATTCAGTTGAAAACGTTGATATGGGCAATTATATATTATTTCGTAACTGGATTAGGAATTACAGCAGGTTCGTGAATTTTCCCGACCTTCTCTAGGTGACTTTTTTTTTATTGGGACTCGTGACCTAGTTCAACCTTCTTTTTCGGCTTGCGAAAAATGCTTGATCCAAGCCATTCAAAGCCATTAATCGATAATTGTTGGAAATGGGGTAAAATTGCATATTTTATGGTTCATACAATGAATGAATCTTTAAGTTTAAATCCAATACCATCAATTTAACCAACTTTAATGACTATTTGTGCATAGTCCCCATTTCTAACAATGAAATGATTCTATATCAATATCTTTGCAGACGATAATGTATTACTGCATACATGTTTATAGAATACGGTTATATATGACGTCATTATTTGTTTGGCCTTAGTGTAACAAACATTGATTCAT